TTCGGCATAATTGGGGACGGGCTACAGGATGACGCCGTCGACGTTTCGAGTAATATGGATGTAATCATCAGGATTTTTCTCTTAATTATGGGTCGATTGGAATCAAACGGCACGTAGATAGAGGTACCCGAATGGAGTCCTCACACGGACAGACGGTAATTTTAATACAAATTTTATGAAAGTGAATCAAATTGTTGAGTAATTTTTAATATGATACTTTTTCAAATATGTCCTTCAAATCCTTTAATTTAATAGCTGTTAGTAAGAAGTTTCACTTCAAATATGCGTACATAGTGTACACTTCGGTGCACACTCTTGTTATGCAGTTTATAATAAATGCCATATAGAGATTGGCCCGAAAACAGTTATTTGCGATTTCCATTTGGAAGGTCACTTTAATGTCGTCTTTTTACAATTCCATACAAAGTCCTATAAAAATAGATATATTGACTCCTAATATTTGCAATATTTTTTTCCAACAAAATAAACTACATTCGTATTCATATATTTTTTTCTGCATTTCTTAAACCACATTTAGAAATGTGTTGCTTTGATGTGTTGCTATATCAAAACCACGGCTATTTTTCTGCTTAGTTTTTTGTTTCAAAACCAATTAATAGCTCATTGATTTTATAATTACAATATTGGATCAATGATTGACAAGAGAAAGATAACAAAGTTTTTATTTCTTAATTACATACTATCAAGGCTGTGGTTATATTTGCGAACTGGAAATTTTTTTAAAATCAATTACTATCTAGTTGACTTTATAATTATATTATTTTGTTGGGACAGCGCCAACAAAATTTCAATAATTTGATTGACTTTTACGTTCGGAAATGTCTCCGGACTGAAATGTTTTCGCAAAATTAGGTTATTTTGTTTTTGGAATAATGGGTCAGTTTATACAAAGTTCCAAATATTTCTTGTATTTTACGTGTAGGGCACACGAGACGAACCCCAGACCCCTCTTGCAACACGCAACGCCATCCCACGTAAAGGTATGGCCATAGTGCACCGGCTTCCCGCTTCTCTCATTGGGAGGAACTCGTTCCTTAGTTCTAGTTCCTCAAGAGGAATAGTTCCTTGAACTAAGTCTTTAGTTCACAATAGTTCCCGACTAACATTGACATCCCCGTTGCTTGCTAATGGGTTTCGTTGTCAGTCAGAACTATTCACAGTATGATCTGTATAAATTTTATCAGTGGCGGATACAGAGGGGGGGCCGTGGGTCCAGCCCCCCCCCCCCCCAATAAAAAATCCATAAATTGGTTTAAATATTAAGCTTTTGGGTTAAAAATTGCGCTCTAAAAAGTATATTCTACATTACTTTTTATTTGGGCCCACCCTATAATAAATTCCTGTATCCGCCCCTGAATTTTATAATGTACGAAATATAAGGAGACGTATAATTGCGTATATTAAAAACATATAGGTAAGTTTTATTGCAGATAAAAAAAATTAAAAAAGAACTACGACTCAACCCTGCAAACGATATTCTCGCTTCCTACAAGCGGATGTTAAAATCATTTTTTTTTTAATTTTCAAACTTGAATAACTCAGTTATTTTGGAGTTACTTGAAAAACGGTAAAAAGAAAATATGTTTCTTTTATCGATTTCTACTAGCCCTGAAAACATTTCCACTTATAAGACTCACTCTGAATATTCAAGGCAGTTGTTTTACAGAATCCCAAATTTCCTTTTTTCAACAGAAAATTGCTTCTATTGATTGGTCAGATGTATACGAAACCTTTAAACAATGCATACGCATATGCCGTATTTTTCAATATATTTTCGAATAGTTTCAATGTCCTGTTTATCGTGAAAAATGTAATTCAACCAAATGGAAAAATAATCATCAAAGGACAACAATAATAGAGTTCAAAGTTTTTTGTTAAATTAATTTCTGGAATACAAAAAAAGATCAATTTTTGACAATCATTGTAAAGTAAATAATAAAGTTTTTGGTTTGGTTTGGCCATAGTAAGTAATACTAAATTACATAGCCAGCATTTGTGAATACCATTAACATAATAATAAAACAACGTTAACACTCATTGAAAAGTTGTTAAACGTGTAATAACACCTCTAATAAGCATTGCATTTTTAAAAATTGATAAAACATACATATTTATTAATAATTTACACAAATGTTATCAGCATTGTTCGCCAATGTTGATAATATTCACACATACAATAATTAGTGGACAAATTTTGATCCATTTGTATTATGTTTTGATATCTCTTTTTTAAATGTAAATGTTTACTGTTGTTCAGTGAAAATTTTCATGATTTATTATGTAGACTTTTTTAATAACGAAATTTATAAAGGGATTCATAAAATGTTTATTAAACGTATATAAATTTGTAAAGTTTTCGGTTGAGATTTTTTTTTAATTTGATGCTTCTTTCAGCAACGCCAAGTAAGATATCACTAATGCTATCATTAATATTTTGTATTAACATTGAAGTTCGGATTGAAGTTAATAAGAATTTAAATTTTAATGAAGATGATGAATAAAATAAGAGTTATACATGAACTGGAAGCATTTAAATCGAGTTTATAAAATGAGGCTATGGTAGATTGTGAAGTGTATTATGATGTAAAGTGTATTTAATGGACTACATGGCTTAAAAAGAGGGGTTTAGTAACGTTTCATTTATCTTTCATTGTATTGGAAAAATTTACACTTTCGTAATTTTTAGTTCAAAGTATTTGGAGTTGAATATTCAGGTGTTTTTTTCTTTGTATTTCAAGATATAAACGACGAATTTTTCTAAATAATACATTTATTTTCTAAAATATACTATTTTAAATTTGATAAGTTAAATAACATAAAAACAGTATACAAAAACTTTATCTTATTAATATTTAATGGGATATTAAGGTCAGTAATAAATATCCAGACGATAAATGAACTAACAAATACATATTATAACCTATGTTAAAAATGGAAATATATTTGTATTGTAAATAGTATGGCACTAGTTTAGTCTAAAAATAATATTAAATAATAATGCAACCATTGAAAATACATCAAAAATATATTAAAGCATTTTTTTCTCTTTATACCGGTTATAGAAGTTTCCAACAAAATTTTTACAAAAATAGGTTAGTTTTTAAAAATATATAAAAAAGCTTTATGTTGACTAAACAGATGTACAGAAGGGAAGAATTATTGTTCTCAGCGAACAACGAACAACGAACAAAGGGACGTAGCAGAGATAATAGACGTTACCTAGGGTGTTGTATCGAAAATATATGCAAAGTACTTGGAACTAGGAACTCTCAAGAAAAGGCACCAGACAAAATCGTCAAAGAGACACAACTGAACAACAAGACCGCTTTGTGTGCCAAATTGTTAGAAGAAATCCCAATGTTTCTTATCCAGCGCTACAAAGACAACTTCTGGCAGCTACAGGTGTGGACGTTTCAGTTGAAATCATAAGAAAAAGGCACACAGTTATCTCGGCAAAATAAAATTGTCCGGTTAAATTGGTGCCTTCAACATCAAAATTGGACAATTGAGAATTGGCAAAATGTTCTTTTTTTCCTAAGATCAGATGACCATCGAATTCGGGTTTTCAGAGCTCCAGGAAGATGAGGGAGACTCCAGGCTGCTAAATCCAAACCAAGATATAAAGTAGGAACTGGAGAGATATTATGCTGGCAGCGAAAATTCCATTGATACAAATTTTAACGGGTCGGAGGTATGCTGATTTAGTGTTAGAACCAACTTTGGAGAGCTGCAATTGGGGATAATTTTAATTTCAAGCACGATATGCACTTTCCCATACTTGCAGAGTACCTAGTGAATGTATTGTAATGGAAGGTATGATAGTTTTGGACTGGCCTGCATGCTCATCAGATGTAAACCATATCAAACACTTGTGGGACCATCTCAAAAGAAGGGTTAGAGCTCGTCGAAACAATCCAGGAAATCTCGCACAGCCTATTGATGCAGCAGAATGGGAAAACATACTCCAAGACAACGTTGATGGTTTAATACTACTACTACTATTGTCATTACTCGCTGACGAGTATTTAACCCACATCAGAAGATGGTAACGCAAGTTATCTCTCTTCCGCACTCCGGACATTCAAAAATGTCATTGCCTTGTTGCCTCTTTACTTTTTAGTTGTCGCTGTTCACTGAGTTTACAATTCTTCTTGATCTTTTTGATTTTTCAAAAATTAAATTGTCTTTTTGATTTTTGACTATTAAACATTTAACAAAATGAGGCCTCATTTCGTTTCAGAAACCAAGTAAATACCATTGTGTTTATTTTGGGAACTCGTCAATTTTTTTATTGCTAGATATATGGTTTTTCATCAAGAGTCTATTACGTTGTACCCGAGGTTGTAGCGTTCGGTTCGCTCTCAGGGGTCGGGTAAAGCGGGTGTGTGGCCGAAGGAAATATTGTATATTATATTTCAGAAATCTGCCTAAAGCTTAGCCCGATCCTGTTGTGTTAAGCCAGACCCAAAATTCAAAACACACGTGCTTTGATTAAGGCTTGATTATGGTTTGCAGAGCTTCAGCATTTACCATAAAATAGCGAGCAATTTGTTACAAAACCATATAAATTATATATCACTGTAATCACAAAACTTCAATCTATGTCCGTATTGTAACCGAATTTTAAATTATGTCTTTATTTTCGAGAAAATTTAGTCCAAACATAAGGAATATTTTGTTGATGTTTCACCATCAAAATCTTAAAAATAACGAAGTTGTCTAAAAGTGTGCTACAATACGGATACAGTATAATCCTTTATCTTTAATATTCTTCTTCATTTGTGTAAAAATACCTAGCCAGTTTTATATAAAACGTTAAATGCCGAACGCTTATTTTGCTACTTTTTCGGACTAGTAAAAAAGTCTTTGGTAAGGACTGAGTTTCATTCATAAACACAAAATGTTCATACGTCTCAAAAATTATAAAACTTCCATATAAGTTTGGTCGTGTTTAGTTGAAAATGACTTCTTGGACTCACCTCCTTCAAATTGGGCAAATTATACAGCACCAGCGAGAATTCAAAGAACAACTCCAACCCCCTGATCAGCCGCAAGTTCGGGAACAACTTCCCAATAGACGTCACATGTTTCACTTTGAAAAACAACACATAGCCAGTAACGCGCGTCAGTTCCGGAAACACATACTGATCGTACTCGCTCACGCTCTTCGTCGTCTCGATAAGCACAATGTTCAAGTTGCCCGTGATCTCCGTGCAGTTCCTCAACTTGTTCAAGTACTCGATCTTGTTTCGCACGTCTATGCTGTCGCATATTTTAGCGGACAGTGGCGAAAGGAAGAGGAGCAAAAAAAGCGCGCCGGATACTAGCAGGAACTTAGTTGTGTGACACCGCATCGCTGTTGTTTGGTTTGTTTTGAAGTGTAGTCGTCGTCGTGGACTCGACGGTTGCGCTCATGGCACGCATACTCGCTGTCGGGCGTCCGATCGTAGACTGACGCCGACGACGCGCGTTTCGTGCGGTGTAGAAAGGCGTCCGTCGCACCGGGACCTGGGGCTTGTGCTTCCTTGGGAGCGCTAGTAGAGGTGATTGAACAGAAAAATACGAAAAGGCGGCGCGCGGTTAGGTTCACGGTCGCTTCCTGGTCGGCACTGTTATCTGTTATCTAACCGGCCGGCGGCACTCCAACGGGAAGAACGAGAAGTAGGACAAACGGTCTAGAATACAGGTACGGGTTTCGAGTTGCGTCTGTGTCGATGCAAGTAAGCAGGTGGGTGTAGTGGTGAAGGGCGGAGCATCGGATGCTTTTTGGAATCGAATATCCAATGCGAATATCTTTTTGAATTCGAACACTTTTCAGAATCTACTACATTCTGAGAGTGGAGTTAATCACTGCAACCTTACAGCGCTTCCAGATGGAGCGGACCGTCCGCGACTTCGAGCAAGTACCATGAGTTTATATGAACAATGTCACATGGGTCGCGTATGCTCCGTCCGGATGATTTCGTTCGAGAGCTATCTTGAAAAAACACGCGGACGAACAACGCGGACGCTCCGCTCCATCTGAAAGCACTGTTACAGATCTATTTTGTGGCCCTGTTGCTTGAGTTATAACGAATTATAACTGGCTTTAAGAGCTTCTCAAAACCCAGTATCTGAGACGGCTTCACAGAGGCACAAATAATTGTCGTTTCGGCGAACTCAGTGATGAGATCTTCTGGTGTTTTCTCATTTCCCTACAAAATCTCCATTCGCCATTGTTTTTTAGCTTCGATCTATGAGGTGTTGAGGAGACACTGTTAAAAACCTCGTGACAACCCGAATATTGTTCTTACTTAAATCGTTCTCTTTCGTAAGTGCTGAGAAATTTCTTTTAGTGTCTTAGACCGTTGGAGAATTCCCATTCCAGGTTACGGATGAGTCTTCCACATTCTTGAGTTTCGCTTTAACCTTTCGAAGATCGCGCGCAGACACAGTCCGCAGTTACCTATTTTTATCGATATTTCGAAAATCTGGGAAGATAAAGGTGCATATTCATTAAGGTGCGTATTCACTATCCGAACGAACGAACGAATGTTCATTCGTTCGTTCAATACGCACCTTTAAGGTGCGTATTCATTATCCGAACGAACGAACGAGCGAGCGAACGAATGGAATTCGGTATATTTGGACGGTGGACCGAACGCATGCGCTCGGCCATCCCAATCGTTCGCTCGGCCATCCGTTTCGAGTCAGTACATCAAAGGCGATCGCAAACGAATGGGTTAAGGTGTTTTTTTATTAATAAATTAAATTTTTTGATAGAGAAATTCATGTAATCGTTTTATTCAAAAAATGTGTTTTTGAAAATTATTTTTCATTTTTAAAAAAACAAAAGCCCTAGGCCCCCCCTGGGCTCAACCCCATGTCCCCCCAGGCCCACCTCAGGATAAATTGCTAGTTACGCTAATGAGTGTACGTTTGCACATCGTTTAGTGCAGTTAGTGTCTTTTTATACTCATATGCAGAGTGTTAGTCCACGCGCGACCGTTTGTGATACTCTTTTTACATCAATAATTTTACAATGTCGAACAGGGTAAGTTATTTTATTGATTTGTTTTAATTGAAAATGAGTAAATTGTGATAAAAGAAGTGAATTATCGACTTTTTTTATTAAATATTATTTTTTAGATGTACTCATATAAGGCAGAGCAAGAACGATTGCAACAGCTAATGCAAGATGTTTGAACGAAGATGACGAATTAACTACTAAACATGACGATGACAAGGAAGAAAGAGATGTTATAGAAAAGCAAGGGCTTGAAATAAATTCTAATACAGAAACATAAATTTCAGATTCTGAAGCACTAAATACAGTATTACCAGAGGATCAGAATACCGGATTGCCAGAGATACTACAGAATTGTGATAGGTGGAAAACAGACTAACTCGTTACTCTTGTGTGCAGTGTCACAATTTCGTATGTTTTGAGCACACGCAAATGTTCTGTAATCACTGTTCTACGCATTGATTTTTTCATTATTATTTATTTTTGTTATTGAATTATATTTATTAGTTTGTGTTGTTGCGTGTTTTATATTATATATTTTATGTTTATGTTCGCTATTTGTAATGAAGCAAGTCAATAAATTGTTTTTTAATTTGATTATCATATTATTTTATCTCTTTACACCACTAGCAATGCTTAAGACCTCTTGGATGCAGACTCAGAGTCCGCGCGCGATCTGTCATGTAAAAAATAAAGCGCGACCGCTGAAAGGTTAAGGTGGTTTCCACTTGAAAAGCAGAACGGTTCTAGTCCAGTTAGTGGAGTATTCGCTCCTTTTCTAGCTAGATCGTTTGCTTTCTCATTGCCTTTTATCCCTTGGTGAGCACCCAGACTAGGAGGCACCCTTTATTTTCTATGTCTAATTTGTTCAACTTCTGTAGGCATTCTTTGACCAACTTCGAATTGAAGTTGATGAAACTGAGTTGATCCCTTTAGTGTAGGATGGTGGTGCCATGTAGCTGAAAACATGTAGAAAATAAACACTGATATAATAAACTGTTTTTTCGTTATTTTTTAATTTGAAAAAATAAATGTACTGTTTGACCAGCAGATCTGTAGCTACGGAAGGAATGCGAGAAAAAAAAATCGATATTGCCACGTTTATCTATAAAATTGCAAAATTGCCAGACATGAACTATAAATTTAATATATTTTTATTATATATAATGTGTTTAATATATATTTTGACGTATATTACTAAGGAATTTTAACGTAGTTCATATTGTTCGATATGTTTTATTTAATAACTTATTTCTTTCTTTCTGTATAATCTGCCTATTATGAAAGTTGAAGATTTTCAACGATATCATTGGCAAACCGGCATCGCCGCGCATGGCCGCCTATTCATCGAACATGATTGGCCAGAGTACGTCACAGGATTTGTTACCACGCGGTTGCCATGGCTTTTACGCCTTTCCTATTCGCTTGCTTTATCCCCAACTTCACGGTCTCTTCTGAAAAGAGTAGGAATATTGAATACTATTGAAATATCCAGTGGCGGTGTCATTTTTTTGATCATTATTACTTTATTTCATTATTTTATACCGGTTATCCTAAACTTTATTCCTATATTTTTAGTATATTTGATAGTTAAGTTGTGTTTTATTGTTTTGTTATCTTGTTATAATGTTTTTCGTTCGTAGTTTTTAATTATTAATATCAAGTTTGATCGTATATTTGTGTTTTAAAACGAATAAATTTGTTAAGGGTAAGACGCTACATAGTCAGACAAGAGAAATAATAGCTAATTTATATAGGTAAGTTAATAATAACGTGGATGAAATCTCATTTGGTGTATTTCCTTGTGTTCATAATAGGGTTTGCGATGAAGAAGCTACAGAGAGTTCGCTTGAGTTGCCGCTTAAACGTAAACTTGAGCGGATATTTCTTTATACCGGAGTTAGCGTATCGGCTATAAAAAAATTCACACAGAAGATAAAAAAAAGGCTGAAAACTAACCCCGATAAAATGATATCCTCTCTGGAAAGAAACGACCACGTGAGACTGCTGTCGAAAAGCTCAACGACTTTTTCGAAGTGGTCAGGAATTTGATAAATAGATTTTATCTCGAATTCAAACTCGTCCCCACAATTAGAAAGCTTTTGCAAAAATTGCAGGAAGAATCGAATTTTCCTTTTGCAGGGAAACGCTTAGGGGGTTATTAAAATCAAATGAATTTTTTTGGCGTAAATGTTAAAATAACAGATAAATATTAATGGAGCGGCCCATTATATTGCAGAGAGAGATATAAATATATATACGCGAAATTCGAAAATATAGCCAAGTATTATCTATTTGGATGTAACATATGGGTAGACAATGACCTAACCTTTAAAAACTGCTGGCGGAGCGATACCATATCTGGTGTAATAGGCAATATCAGATCTACTGATGAGTAAAATTATGTTTTGTTTGCGCTTCCAAAGTTAACTATTTTCAAGATTTTTTTTTGCTGGAAATAGTTATATCTAAAATTATGTATTATAGAAAAAAATATAGTTAGTACAGATATATAAATAAATATACCTCAAGACTCAGTCTTGATCATCTGCTGATTGCAGACATGGTTAGCGAAACGTGCGTCCAGTGTAAAATTAAAAGTGTTTTGGTGTATTGTACTGATTTAGTGTTTTATTTTGCTCTGTAACACCAAAGGTTCCTACCCCCAGCTGTAATTATTTCTTCTATTATATTAACAACACAATAATAAAATGATTCAAAATATTTAAGGGAGCTTTAATAAAAGCTTTTAGTGTTTATCTGCTAACTCAACAGTAACGATTCAAACAGCATAAAGTTTTTTGAAAAAAATTATTAATCTGAGTATTATATTTATGATACACATTATTTTCATATAACACCGTACGCCCATGCCTATTTTATGAATGAAATTGGGCGTGTTTTGTTTACAACTGCGTTCCCCTGCCGATACCCCGTAGCTACAGATCCGTTGGTCACACTATAAGTACCCATCTTATTTATGGCGCCCAACGTGGGGGCGAAAGTTAGCTGTTGAAAGTTATGTGCCAATGGTGAAAAAATACTAAGGTTCCGACTTTTCTAATAATTACAACCACGTATTATAATTCTGTAATAAGAGGGGATTATGCATTAATTGACCAGACAATTTTAGCCATTAACTTCCTTGTTTCCGTGCAGCAGGCTTGATTATTCAGTTGGTGTAATTAGGTAAAAGAATTTCTTATTACTTCTTAAATGAAAGAATTCATTGTGTCAAATAAAAGTACGGGCTTTCTTTTTTATAGTTTGCATGTCCGTACATAATGAATGATATTGTTACGGATCCGTGGGTCCTTATTCAAACTGACGATAAAAACACCTAATGAATTTATTTTCCAACTAATTATATTAATCATATATAACTGTAACACACAACTAACTCTTTGAAAAACCTTCATGTCACCATACACCTTGACAATATCAATAATCAAAGATTAAAACAAGCAGTATATAAAATATCCCAGTGTTCCGGTGATGCGTATCTACTGAACGGTAACAGTTAAATAAGGGTCGTCGAAACTTTAATTGACCCCAATTAAGGTAGTTACTTGCGATGACAGGTTTAATATTAATTTCGATACGTGTCGTGATACGAAATACACGATTGTTTCCTGCGTGGGCGGCAATTGAAAGGCTCGGTTTACCTCTAAATTTTGTTATTACGTTGCGTTTCATCTTTTGGAGGGTCCTGATAACGTAAA